GAAGGGAGAAGCGAGCTCTCTGGCTGCGGACACGGCACTTCGGAGCCAATCCACACACGAGAACACGTCGCCGAACTGCCCCAGGGCCGTTCGGTGCACCGCAGGCGACTGTTCTTCTGCCCCACCCGAAGGGCAGGAAAGAAACGTGTGCAGTGCGAGATGGACCTTGGAGGGGACGGGGCGCCTGGGCAAGGTGCCCCCCCTGCCCCCCCCAGGAAAGCCAGGCAAACGTGTGGGGTTTTATTTCACTATAGGTTTTATAAGTAAGGGGGATGAACGTCTAAAGAAATAAATGAGCACAACCATGTCTCTCTGTGACGCTGGTTAGAAACAGCCCGGCCCGTGGAGCTTGGTTGCCCAATGCCTGGGCGTGTTCCTGGCACATCCCCTGCCGTGCCAGCGCGGAGCCTTGGTTCGGCCGGCCCGGAATGGGCCCTCCAGGACTCCGTGCAGGATCCCTTCCTAGTCTGCTGCGGAGATGCGGGGGCCCCGCTGCTGAGCGACGGCCCCTTCCCCGAAGAGGCCCAGCAGCCTGCCCTGCAGAGCAGGACACTGAAGGGGCAGCCCTACAAGGCCCAGGAGGACCCGCTTGGCTTCTGGGCACATCGAGTGAGAAGCAGCCTCTGGCAAGCCTCATCCCTTGCCCAGAGCGTCGCGCATGTGGGACTAGCAGGTTTGCCCTTCTTGCTTTAGTCTCACGGGGGGGCTGTTTTGGGAAACGGGGGGGGGGGGGTGGCTGGAGGTAGGGGTAGCCTGTGAGGTAGGTTGGGCTGAGAGTCTGTGGCTGGCCCAAAGTCACCCAGTGGGCTCCATGGCTGAGTGGGGACTCGAACCCGGATCGCCTGAGTCCCACGCTCTTCACCACTGCACCACACCGGCTCTCGATGGCCTTTTGCAGACGACTGACAGGACAAGAAGGCCCTGCTGGTTTGCTGCCTGACCAGGGGAAGCCGCGAGAGAGGAGCCGATGAGCGGACAACCAGCGGCCGTCTGCTGTGGCTTCGGTCCAAGTGTGCGAAAAGGCCTGCCGCCGGCACCGCTGCTCTTTGTGTGTGCCCAGGAGCTGAAGCGCACAGGATGAGCTGCTCACCTGGACGCTCTCCCGGAGCCACCAAACCCACCGCAGGTCCGGCGCTGAAGCTCTCCGGTCTTTCCCACGCTTGGCTCCCTGGTGCGGCTCCTGCGGCAGGCGAGCGAGCGTGAACAGGAACGCCTTTATTACAGACATGTAGCTGCACATCCCTCGCGGGGCGAGGAGCATGCGGGCGTGGAGCAGACAATGAGCCAAAGAGGACTCGTGTCCCCTGGGGCGAAGGCCCTCATTGTTTCCTGCCTGTGGCAAAGAGGTGGTCCTGATGCTTGGCGCAGCTGGGTCCTGTCGCCCAGAGGCCCTGCGGGCTCCGAGGAGGCGCTAGCGGCACCGACCGGAGAGCCCGAAGGCCCGGCCGGCTGCGGCGGACAGCGGGCGTCCCACACAGCGCCAAGCGCCCAGCGCAATGAGTTGGCTCAGGGTTTAAAGGCCTGCCTAAACTCTCAGTGCAGGCTACACAAAACAGCAGGAAGCCGAAGGATTTAAGTCCCATCGCCCTGCTGGGGGGGTGAGTGTTTTCGAACGACAGCTCCAGTCATTTAAGGAATGATCATTAAACAACTGGCTGGCAATTAGATACCAATAGATACCAACATCTGAAAACAACCAATCGCATGGACCAATCGTTATTCTTGGTGGCGTCAATGTTGATTTTGTACTCACAAGAAGTATGAAGAGGGGAATCTCTGATTTTTAAACTATTTTTATGAGAAATACAATTGCACTATTACAACAAAACATGGCTTGCATAAAACAGAGTGCAATGCTTTGTTCTCCGTAGCCTCTTGTTGGAGAACAACTGGACCGAGGAATAGGCAGCGCTTGGTCTCCGTGGCCGGTGCAGTTCCCGAGCCCTCATGAAGAGAAGGCAGGTGGGCCGTCGCAAGAAGACGGTGGCCAGAAGCGCGGCAGAAGAGAGCACGGGCAGCCCGATGGCACCACCGGTAGTCCCGCGCGTGGGATCCTGACATTTCCCTTGCAGGCAACCCTCTGCTGCGTTTTCTCTCTGCCACTAACCGCCAACCGGCAAGGGCGAATCGAACTCTCGGCCATCTCCATTGGCGGCAACGCAGGCAACACGTCTTCCTCCTGAGACAGCTTTCTGCCCCCCCACCCCGAGGGCCCTTCCCCAAATCCTTCCAGTGCCTCCCCGTAGCCCTGAGAAGCAGGACCGAGCCCACCCCTGGCCCCTGCGGCGGAAACACAGCAGCCCGGGATGCAGGGACCGCACTCTGCAGAGGTTTGCCGAGCTTCCTGCTCTTGAACCGGATTCACCCGGTGCCGGCCGAGGGCGCCTGGGCAAGGCAGCTGCTGGGCTCCCTCCCTGGGGGCCGGTGCCCCTCCACCACCTGCTCTTGCCCTCACCTGTCTCCTCAGCAGGGCCCCTTTGCTTGCCGGACGGCAGGCGGCCAGGAGCTAGAGCCCCCTGCTCCCCATCTCTGTCGCCCAGAGTCAGGGGAGCAAACTGGTTGCGATGGGGGAGGGTGGGGCAAGTGCCGGAGGCTTGCCAGTGGCCCCTGCCGGGGTGGGGCCCCTTGGCAGGCCCCGGCCCTAGAACTCCGGGCTCTAAGAATAGCAGGCTGGGGAGGGCCGGGAGGGCACCGGGTCCAAGCCCTGCTTGGCGCAGCCGTGCCTGGAAGGCCCCCAGTGGGGGAGAGCCCACCACCGGATGCTGCGCAGGGCGCCTGGGCCACCCCGCCGGCGCTTCGGCCTTCCCGCGGGCACCATTTGCGTTTGCCCTGCCTCCCGAGGGCAAGAAGTAAACAAGAAGCAAGCGACGCACGCCCAGGTGTTACTTCTGCTCTTCACCCACTGGCTCTTTCCCGAAATTCCCCTCCAACTCCCCGTCACAATATCCTCCGGAATGGGGAAGAAAACATTCTGAAAATGCAGCACGCTGTGGACTCCTGCCCCCGATGAGCTGAGACTCGAAAGGCTGCCCTGGGCAGGACGACGGGGTCCGAGGATGAAGAGAAGCTAGGGAGGGAGATGCAGAGGGGGCAAAAGCAGCCCCCAAATGCCCCCAGGGACCTCTGGACCAGGCGGAAAACAAGCTGGACCCACTCCCCATCGTCGCTGGGCCGGGATCCTCAAGAAACGGGCTTGGATTTCCGGGGTCTGAAGCCAGAGGGCCCAGCAGATCCGGGCGGCCGTGTCTCCGGTGGAGTCCGCCTGGATGCCTGGGGATGCTGGTTCACAGGAAGGCCGCGAGGCCAGCCTGGGACGGGTCCCCAGCTCCCGCTGGAGCCGTGCAGGGGCAGCCCACACTGCCCAAACCCCAGGCAGAGGGCTCCTGCGGCCACCGGCCAAGCGGCGCCATGCCCCCTTTCTTCCTTCACGGATTCGCACGGGAGGGCTACCGGTGGGGAGAGGGCATCATCTGGACCCTCTCTGAGCAGGGCAGGGCAGGGCAGGGCAGGGCAGGGCAGGGCAGGGTGAGCGCGGACCAAGACCCTCTCCTGGAAACTGTTTCCCTTAACAGAAGCGGCGCCGGCACCGCGTGCCTGATGCACAGGCGGTCGGCGCGGCATTTCTGCTGCGGCATCTCCCACAGACAGGTCTACCTCGCCGTTGCAAACCCACACAACTCGCATTTCCACCCCAAAATGACACCTCTCCACACCCATGCCACCCCACAACGTCTGCAAAGGGCTGCTCTGGATGAAGCTGCTGCTGGTTGAACAGGTTTAAGTTCGCAGTGCGCGAATCCTGGAGAACTGTAATCCTTAGGCCGTCTGGCAGGTGGATGGGAGAGTCAGAACTCTCCTGGCTTCACTTGGAAGCTCCAGGCGGCCCGCACCCTTCTTGCTTGCACCGTTTTTGGTCCACACTGGGAAAAACACACTGTCCAAAAGTGTACTTCTCCCCATTGGCGAAAATGTGAACATGTTTAGCTTTTTTAAAGAGGTTGTTTCCAGGTGCACATTTAAAAAAAAAATCCCATGTGATTGCAAGTTCAGGAATGTGCAAACAGTTTTGGGGGAAATGTGGTTCTTGTCTGCAGCTGTGAGCAGGGTGAACGGAGATGACCCGCTAGCTGCGGCGGCCAGGGTGGGAGGCTGGGCTCGTGCTGCCCCCTTCCGGCAGCCAGCAATCGTCTAGCAGATGAAGTACCCAAAGGAAAGGACCATTCGGCGTGGGCTGCCGGCAAGCTCAAGCCAAGTTAAATCTGAGAATGGAGGAGATGGAAATGCAGGCGTACAACCTGCCCCGGTTGGTACTGGGTCCGGTGGGTAAGCGGCTTGGTTCAAGTCGAGCAGAACCACCGTTTGTGTTTCAGTTCTCTTTGGGGGCAGTTTTAAACCCCGTGGCTGACCAGTGGGTGCACCACTGAGTCACTTCCTGCGGCCCTTTCCCAGGCATAAGACCTTTTTATTCCAGCAATATTTTAATAAGTTTTAATACTGTCTTTTCTATGTTTTTAATTGCAGCCAGTGTGGGTTGGGAATTTGTGTGATATTTTATGTTGAAATCCGTCCTGAGGCTTTTTGCGACAGGACGGCATATAGACATTTTAAACAATTCATAAATAAATAAATATCGCTTGCCGCCATTCCAAGTGGCAGCTCCGAAGGCTGCTTCCGGATCCCCTTCTGCATAGGAGACAGGGGGGGCTGCAGTGCCCCACTGCCGTTTGCCATCAGCTCAAGCCGTCCCCGGCAAGGGGAGGGCAGAATGCCGAGCCGGCGAAACACCCTTCCGCCCACCGTGGCCTGGCCTGTTCCCGCTCACCTCTGGCTGCTCGTAAGTGGATTCGAAGCAGGCTCATCTTTGTGGCTGAAATTGGAGTGTTATGCCAAAACATTTCACATTTAAAAATGGATTGCGCTTGCTCCTCTCCAACAGATCCCCTCCCCTCTTCCCCCGGCCTTGTACTGTTTGGAGTCCTGTTGGGTTATTAAGCAGCATATAAATGTGAAAATATTTAATTTTAAAAGCCATTTAGAATAGCAATAGTTGTGATAAAATGCCAAAGCAGCAGCTTACTCCATTTGGGTTTGAGGAACTCGTGAATCTGTGGTTGCTGTGGCAGTTCGATGCGGCACTAAGGGCCGGATTCCCTCCCAGCCATCACCCGTGACAGAACAACCCATCAGGTGCATGAACATGGAAGACACCTGTGGTGCTTCGAGAAGAGGCTTTAGGTCTGTGCACCTTGGCACCAACAGAGGCCACCAGGACTCGGAGCAAGGAAATGGCTGGCGAAAGCCCCCCATTGCCGTTTGGGGTCCATTCTCTCCCCCCAGACATTCACCACACTTTGAAAGTCTGTTCAGCCGCTGTGAACGCAAGTCTTCATGAAGTTTTCCTCCGCTCTCAGATATTCTGGCCCAGCGCTGTGCTCACACAGGAGTCAACTAGCGAGGTGCAACGAGGCCGGAGAGGACAGGTGTGCCCACCTGGAGCCGCGGGAGGTCAGACGGCCAGAATGACAAGCAGCCACCAACACCGTCTTCTCGTGTCTTTGTCCTTGGATGACACTTCGCAAACCCCCCTTTCCCCTGCTGGTTTCCCCCCTACATTTTCTGAAAGGTGTGTGAGAGAGAGAGAGAGAGAGAGAGGGAGGGAGGGAGGGAGGGAGGGAGGGAGGGAGGGAGAGAGAGAATTTGTATCAGTTTACATGGGGCTCAAGGAGAACACTGCAATCTGGGAAGAAAACTTGGGAACATGGGGTGTGAGCTGAGCTTCAGGAAGGCATGAACAGCACCCAAGGGCTTGGTAAGTCATACTACCTTTTAATGAACTGCCAATAAACGGTTACTCAGGAAACATGTCCAGAAGAGGACTTTGCAGGCTCCCTGCAAGCTCCATCACCTGTCGGACCTTCTGTATCACACATCTATGTTCACTCAATTTACAAGTTGTCTGCCACCGGCTTCCACGCCGACAGAGAACTGGGACCCCAAGGTTGTGCTCACAGCTTTTCTGCAAAACTGACAGCACCTCCGTTCAGCAGGAGAAGGCTTGTTGATCCAGGCTTGCACGAAGATGCTCTACCGAGAATCTGAGAAGAATGTGTGGTTGTTTCTTAAGATTGCTGTCTTTTTTTCAGAACTCTTCCTAATAGCCAGAGCATCAGTGCGCTGCATCGAGATGTCATGATGGAAGCTGTTGAAAGATGTTAAGAATCAAATGTGTCTGGCTGAAATGAGTAATTCCCCGGCTTCTTCCCATTTGCTCCCTACGTGCAAACGGGGGACCAGACCCTCTGCTCCAACCTCTCCCTTCCTTCGTCAGCCTAATCCACCAGTGATGCATCGGGGTTCCCCTTGCTCCCCTCCCAGTCGCTAATCGGGGCTCCCCTTTCAATGGCCATGTGGAACCATGGTTTGAACCACACTAGCAATTCACAGTTAGGAGAACTAGGTTAGCATTAACCGTGGTTTGCCTTAGTGCAGATGCAACGCTAGACCACAGTTCAGGCACTTATGGAAAGTGGAATTTGCGTCTGGAAGGGGAGAGCAGAAGGGAGAGGGCAGCTCCAAATCTGGGAGGGAGGGAGGGAGGGAGACAGCCCGGCAGCTTCAGCAGTGGCAGGGGACAGCCATGAGGCTGGAGACGCTGGAATGAGATTCTGGATGGATCTCATCTCTGTGTCTAGCCAGCAGCCGGATTACGAAAAACGGAGAAGAAACCCTCTGCTGTTGCTCTGGCTCCCAAGGGCGAAGCCAGTTGCATCCCAGCGCAAATGTTTGCACATCTCCACTGGGCCCCATTGCCGTATTTATTTATTTAAAACTTTTATACCCCAATCCACCACTGCCGACTCGGGATGGCTTACAATAAGAACAATAAAATAACAAACCAAACACCGCACCCAACAATCAAGAAAATGAAGATAAAAACTCCAATTAAAACCAATGAAACATTAAGATAATGGGGAAATAAAAAGGGTTCCACGTGATGCCAAAAAGAATGAAGCGTCGGCACCAGGTGAACTTCTCTGGGGACAGTAACCACGTACCGACTTCTTTCGGATGACAAAGATATGGATGTCCTCGCTCCGGAACTCCTCATCGTGCTCATCCAGCGGTACCTTTTCGCACTCAAAGTCCCTCTGAAGAAGCTGCAATTTAAAGAGCAGCAGAATCGGAATTCACCTATCACGGGCTATGAAACGGCCCTGCGATGAAATCTTGGTGCAAATTCTGCTTTGGTTCTGAAAATCGCCACGGATGAGGAGGGCTTCTCCAAGGGCTTTGGGGAGGGCCAGGCAGCTCACCTCGAAGTATCTTCTCTCGATTTCCGGGTTCTTCCCCATGGTCCTCTCCTCATAGCAGCAGAGGATGCAGGTATCTGGGCTGGCCAGGTCCTTCATGGTCTTGAGCAATGGCTCCAGAGACTGCCCATGAAACAAAGAAGCATTTTCCGTTAAACCTTCTTTCCCTACCTGCAATTCTCAGATCATACCACAATACCGGATATATTCCAGCTAGCTTCGCTACACTGACTAAGGGCATTGTGTAGTTCTCTTGCGGACTCACTTGCACAATTATCTGGGAGAATTTCCTGCCAATTCACTGCAACTTCTGGTTTATATACTCCACAGAAAGCGGTGACAACCCTGAGAAAGTTCGAGAACTCTGAACCGCTGCATGAATGTAGGGCTGCTACTTCCGGAACTGAGTGAAACAGACCCTCAAAAATTGTCCACCCTATGTGTGGGGTTATAGTGAAACTGGGGAGTACTTGGGGGGAATTTCTGTGAATATTCTTGTGAGGGGCTCTTCTTGAAGAAATATTGCCTAGCCACTACAAGCCCAAGATTTCTTCCTTGGTCAAAACATCCATGGCCAAAGCATTTCGTTAATGCTGCAAAAGCCTTAATTAAGAAAGCACTGATTACGCATTAGGGGAGACAATTCCCCGCAGGCCTTCCAGTCACTTCAGGAACAAAACCTGCCAAAAAAACACTCCACTCAGTCCAGCCTACAGCCAAAGCCCGGGGCCCACCCACCCAAAGACTGTGAGAAGCTGTTCTCAGGGGGCTCTTCCAGAGACCTCGTGATGCGAGGATTCCCATCTTATCTTTGGGTACTGGGCAGCACCGAGAGGAAATGAATAATAGTAATTCACTTGTGGTTGAGGGAACAAGGATGCAGGGGGCTGCTTTAAACGGAAGCCCGCTGCCCACGGCCATCAACGCAGAAGGGCCACCGCTGCTCTCCAGGGTCTCTGGCAGGAGTCTTCCAGACCGACCCGGAGATGCCAAGGATGGAGCCTGGGACCGCCAGCAGGCCAACGGGGGCTCTGCTGCTGAGCCACAGCCCCTCCCGAGAGATCAGTGGCTCACCTCCTCATAGTAGATGCAGTCGGCCATCAGTATGAAATCCGGCGCAGGGAGGAAGTCGGCTACTTCTGTTCCCCTGGACAGGAAGTAAGGGGGATGCAAGACCAAAATACTGGGAGATTATTTTGGCTCCTCTATTGGCTTCTCTTTTCACACCTGGAATTTCAGCCAAGGCTCCCACCCAGAGCGGCTTCAAACGCAGTTCCCCGCTTGACGGCACCTTTCAGGCTCTTCTCTCCAGGTGGGAGTGGGGGAGAGAGCCCCAGAAAGATGGCTGGGGCAAGCCCATGGCCACCACAGAAGCAGCCCCTCCTCAGACCTGCCCCCCTCCCTTCCCCCCCTCCCCAAAAGCCTTAAACCTTCAGATGCACATAAAGCATTTGAGTACAATCCTAGGCTTATTAAGACAGGAGAAGATCCAAAAACTCCCAGCATTGCCCACCCAGGGGAATCCCAGCCAGGGGATGCTGGGAGTTGGAGTACTGCTTCCTGTCTAAACAGGCCTAGGATTGCAACTTAACTTGGGTCAGAACAAGAAAAGGAGCTGTATGGGTAAACCGAAAGCAATTCTAAGGCCATAATCTACCTGGGCCTCACAGTACAGGCCTCAGCACCTGGCAGGATGTCCCCCTCTCCTGAAATGGCGCCGCACTGCCTGAGAGGCAGCTCCAGACAGCGCCTTCCCTGGGGAAAAACTGCAAACCTGAGGCTGCCCTTCTTTGGGCTCATCACAAGAAGGAAGGCTGGGCTCCCCAGAGAAGGCAGTGCTGCGAGGGGAAGATGCAGGCAGGAAAAGGATCGCCAAACAAGAGCCGCCTTGACTTCGAAAAGGAAGCCACAGGCTTGATCTTAGAATAACTGAGCAGGGCGGGCACCTGGAGGACCTCCATTCATGGGGTCACCCTAAGTTGGAGACGACTTGATGGCACATCAGAACATGAACTAACTGAAACTAGTTTTCAGTCCCTTAAGGGAATGTAGGTTACGAAATGAGAAGTTCATACAAACCATTTCAGTACCTTGGCTTGAATGGAGCCTGTGATAAGATGCTGATTATTCTCGATGTTCATTTTCAGCAGGTCCTGGACTTCCTCAAGATCAGTGACCGTCACATCTGCCCTGCAGAGGAAGTTGGGAGCAGTCGTTCAGTGCGCTTGGCGGCCGGCCTCGTTCACACACCTGACTCAAGGAGGCGCAGGGCACGGGTCCCTTGCTGCCCAAGCGAAGAAGGTTCACTCTGCAGCTCAATCCTTGGCAAGGCCAGAGAACTCTGCCTTGGGCCCCCATATGGAAAAGGGCACCAACCCGGTTTGCGGGAAATGAAGGAGGCATGCACAATTAAGAAAAAGGCAATTAAACAAGAAAAGCCTCTGGATAAACAAGGGGAAAAGGGTGCTTCCCGGATGCTGGCGGACAAAGCTTATATTCTGCCACTGCTCCGGCTCTTCCATGGAATTTTGCTTTGTGTTCCACTCACAACACCCCCATCACGTCTTCCAACATCTCCTGAGAACAGATTTAAATCTATCAGGGAAAAAGAGACGGGTTGCCCCCCAAGGCCTCCGGCAGGAGCCCTCTGTCTGGAAGCATCCTAAGGAAAGGGACCTGGTCAGCCGATTCCTTCTCAGAAGCAGGCTGTTTTACTTATTTATTTACAATTTTTGTATCCCAGCCTTTACAGTGTCTCAGGGTGGCAATGGCATTAAAAAACAGGACCCGGCATCACAGATCAAATATAGAATCAGTACTAAAAACAACGCTAACACTTAAAATGCGGGGGAAATGGCAAGGGGTCAGCCTGGCGCGGCAGCGAAAGAGCGCCGGTGCCAGGCGCCCCTCTCTGGGGGGCCGCGGGGTGCGACTCGTGGGGCGCGGGGGGGGGGGGGGGGAGGGGCCGGCCGCTGCCAGCGAGCCCCGCGGCGCCCCCCTCCCTGGCCCCCCGACACTTGCGCCCGCGGGCCCCGCGCCGGGGCGGCGCTGGCGGGGGCGCCCGCGGGCGCAAGTGTCGGGGGGCCAGGGAGGGGGGCGCCGCGGG